TGAACTTGCTGAGGATACACTGTCCCCTCTTTCAGGTCATTGATGACTATGTCTCTCATTAAGAGAAAGCAGCATGCTCGGCAGGGTGCCAACCTCCACACGCGGGCCAATGTTACAGTTGCGCCAGTTGCGCGTTTTTCAAGAACTGCATCAGTTAAAGGAGAGACTGATTTTTGTTCCTGCCATACCCAAAACTGACACCCTCAGCCAACAGCACCCCCCGCGCCAAGCTTTCCCTCAGCTGGCGGGGGACTGCCGGGCAGCCCTCAGATCTCAGCCCAGCGATGAAGTGGCTGCCCCCTCCAGAACCGGGCACCACCTCACGGGGGCCAAGCGCCAAGGGAGACCCCGGAGCCGCAGCCCGGCCTGGGCACCGCCCAGCCTGACTATCGCAGGGCACGGTACCTGAGGGACGGGCAGCGCAGGAGAGCACAGCGGGCGGGCTGGGCGGACAGCACGACAGTGAAAGAGAACACGGCGACTGCCCGACACACACCGGGCACAGCCGCCGCGCGCAGGGCGCCGCCAAGGAGCAGCATCCACGCCGCCGCCCACCCCGCCTCAGCTCCGCAGGACTGAGGCCGGGCGCGGGCCTGAGACGGGGGTGCTGGGCGTGCTGGGCGAGGGAGCCCCGCTCCGATCTACCGCCCCGTCCCCACGCAGAGCCGCCGGAACCCCCGACACCACCCACTACCTGTCCAGCGGAGCTGCCGGGGCCGGGCCGCCCCCACAAACAGCCACCGCCACCCCGGCCAAAGGCCCTCTCTATAAGCTCGCCTCCCATTGGGCAGAGCGGCAACAACAGCCAGCGCCACCGGCCCACCCGCTTTTCCCCTGCAATGGACACGCCCCCTCCCCAAACGCCGCTCTCTGATTGGTTGCTGCGCCCCCGCGAGGTGTGTCCCTCCCTGAAGGCGGCCCCGCCTTTCCCGGAAGCCGCGGGGCGGGGGGAGGGCCGCGCTGAGGGGGCGGGGTCTGCCGGGGCAGAGGCCCGAGGCTGACGGGGCGAGCGGTGCGTGCTGCGGCGGGACGCGGGCGCTCCTTGGCGGTTGTGGAGGGTACCGGCCGGTGAGGGAGCGGCGCTGAGCCGTGCTCGCTACACAGCCCTGCCCTGCCCTGCCCTGCCCTGCCCTGCCCTGCCCTGCCCTGCCCTGCCCTGCCCTGCCCTGCCCTCAGCCGCTGCGGGGCCCAGCTCAGTCCTGCAAGCGAAGGATTTTCAAATACACGATGAATCCGCTCGTGGACCTTCTGCTGTTTTTCGGCACGCTCATCTACTCCTACTTAGAGGCCTTTGTGAAGCTGTTTGTCCCCGTGAAGAGAAAGTCTGTCAGCGGAGAGCTCGTTCTCATCACGGGGGCTGGCCACGGCGTAGGGAGAGCGACTGCCCTGGAGTTCGCCAAGCGCGGAAGCAGGCTGGTTCTGTGGGACATCAACAAGGTAATGGGACAGTCTGTGTCTTGACTCGCTCCCCTGGGCGGCCGCTGGCTCAGTGGTGTGAGAATGGCTGCACCCCTCGGCTCGGGGTCTGCTCGCCCGCGGGGACGCTGAGCGCCAGGAGAGCTCTGGCCCCGCTTCCACCGGAGGATGCGGGTGTCCAGGTGCCAGAGCGACTCCACGCTAATCCCGTCAAAGAGCAGGTGCCAGAGGGAAGGCGGCGGTCAGCGAGGTGCTGTGGGGACCGCTGCCTGGGCTGGCAGGAGAAGGCACGTTCAGACCAGATGCCTGTTTCTACAGAGAAGCAGGTTTACCTTCAGCTCGCTCTCTCTCCAGCCCCAGATGTTTTGTGTGCATTGTGGAAGACGTGTCTCTGTACTCCTGTTGACAGGCAGCACTGCGCTGTGCTGTGTGTGAGCCCTCCTGCCCTCCGGGGCACTAGCCCAAGCTCTAGTTCAGCTGAGTTCACTAGAGCGCAAAAAGGCCTTGGCAAGCGGAGGATGGACAGGTACAAACACGCAGAGGATCAGTCAGTAGGGACCAAGGCAAAGCGGTGTGCGTGGGAGCCACGGGCTGTGCAGAGGGGGTGAGTGCTGGGCGGCAGCGTGCGGGAAAGGATTTTGACACCGTGGATCAGAAACCGCAGAGGAGTTCCTCGTGTCATGCCGAAGCTGATGAAAAAACAGCCCATCCCAAACAAAGGAACAAACAAAACCAGGACAAGCCTAGCATAAGGGAATGCGTGATCAGGGAGGACATTGCTGAATATATTCAGTGTGTGATGCCACCCGTTACAGCTGAGGCCGCTCTGGAGGGGTGGGAGGAGGCATGGTGCCAGTCTCTCCATGGGTGAAGGGCTGCTGTTGTGTTGTCTGTGTTGACTGGAAAGGGGGAAACAGGAATAAACTTAGTAGCATGCGAGACCTGGCTTTGGTACAAGGAAGTACATGGCAAGGGTGGGTGTAAGCAGGCACTGAAATACAATGCCAAGGGAGGTGGTGGGTGCCAAAGGTTTTAGGAGTTTGTTTCCCCGGTCCCCCTGCCCTGGCAAAGGCCTCGTTCCTGGGGGCCATCAGCCTTAAGCAGCAGCTAGAGCTGCCCAGTCATCCACCCCAGGGACTTGCACAGCTTCTGTCCCAGGCCAATTGTGAACTGGGGCTTTTCACAGAACAGGTCCCCGTTGGCACGGCTCTCTGGCGCCCAGGGACAAGGCTGCAGCAAAGTCAGTTTGGCCCTCGCTCGCTGGGTTGATGTAATGACTTAGGGGAGCTTCTGCTCTACATGTGTCCAACTGTTGTTCTTTTCAGAAACATCCCTCTACGCTGTGTGCTTTGGAGCACATCTGCCTTCTCCCCTCCAGCCTGTAAATACAGGGGTGCACAGGGCACTTTCCATCTGTCGGGGCTGTCAGCTGGGCCCGTGTTTTAAGAGCTCTGCTTTACCGTCACGGTGTCTGTCAGCTGTGCTGAGAAAGTCTCCGAGTGCCCCCTCTCTGCAGCCGAGCTCCCTATGCCTCACCAAGGCAAACTCGCTCTTGCTGCCACATTCCCCTCCTGCCAGGCACTCCACACCGGAATTGGAGGTTGGAAATGCTCATCCTCCCACAGACCCCAGCTCTGTCCCTGGGCAGCCATGAACCGTTCAGGGCCCTGGCAGCGGTTACGTGATGGGGACAAATCCTCAGGCTCTAACTAGTCGGCTGCGGTGCCCAAGCAGCAACACGTGGGCAGGGTGCAGTTGACACGTGTGTCTTTCTTTTCTGCCTCTTGCAGCATGGCGTTGAGGACACGGCAGCAGAATGCGAAAGGCTGGGAGCCACTGTTGGAGCCTTTGTGGTGGACTGCAGCAAGAGGGAGGAAATCTACAGCGCTGCAGAGAAGGTACGGGGGCAGGGGCACACCCAGAGGCTTACCCAAACGTGCTCGATTTTCAGAATCACCAGGAAAACAAGAGGTATTGTATGCAAACCGTATAAGCCCTTGGGATCTCCCCACTTGTGGCTGCGTTCTGTACGGAGAGTGAAGTAGCCCTTCCGAGACCACAGCCAGTCTCATCCTCTTTTGTGAGTCTCTGGGATATCACGCCTCATTGCCAAGTTTGCTCTTTAAAAGTCTGGCTCCTGGAGGAACTTCTGCCTTTTTAGTTTCCTGAACAGCACATGGACAACACTGGGGACATTTGAAACATTTCCCTGTAAAGGATATGGTCCGGCTGCCTCAAAACAGTCTGCACGTCCGTTGGCCCAGCCGTGACTACACAGAGCGTGCCGTGTCTGTGGGCAACACGTGGCAGACTGTACACACTGGCAGCAATTCAGGGAGAAGCATCAGATTTAAACCAGATTTCATGGTTACTTCTGCACACTTCCTACTGCGTCTGGAAGCGTAGCACGATCTTCCTCTCCCTAAAAGCAAGAGTGTTAAGAATTAAATTAACTGTGCCTCATTTTCCACAGCCTTGCCTTTTTTTTTCTTTTTTTTTTTTTGTAATACCAAATGACACACGCCTTTCTGATTTTCTTCTGCCCAAAAGGTGAAGAAGGACATTGGGGATGTCTCCATCCTGGTGAACAACGCTGGTGTGATTACAGCTGCCGACCTGCTCTCGACTCAGGACCACCAGATTGAAAGGATGTTTGAAGTCAACATTCTGGCTCACATGTGGGTAAGTGTCACTAGCACCTTTGTATTTACCTTTCTCTGGGAGCATTTTTGAGGAAGCATATTTAGACTCACAATTCTTTTCAGCCACCAGTGGACGACAAAGGCATCTTTTGGGCGTGTATAGCACAGGGGCACCCAGCTAGACGGACTGTTGGGAAACTTGATTGCCCTCTTGCTGATCTGAGCTTGGCCCAGTTTTTTCATTTTGGCTTCATGCGAGCGTGGGTTGGTCTCTGTGGGAGGTGTTCCAGGGATCCTCATTGCACTGGGTAGTTTGGGCACCCACAGCTGAGCACCCACACCCTGCAACTAGAAAATAGACGGGGGAAAACTACATAGCAATGTTTTTATCAGCTGACCCACACAGAAGGCAGCTGGCACATGCCCCAGATGGCCAGGCAGGTGCAGGTCGGGCAGAGCAGGGCAGGCACAGCCCCGCAGCTCTCAGCAGAGCCCGGCCACGGGGCAGAGCGAGGACTGGCCCCCCCAGACTGCAGCCCCCAGGCCCATCTCCCGGGGTGCTCTTCCCCTCGCGGTGTGTCCCCGCCTTCCCTCCTGGCTCCACGAGCTGCTTCCGAGCCCCTCTCCCACCATCCCTGCCTGTCCTTGTGACTGCCACCTCTCTCACCTCCCTGCAGACTTTCTCCCAGCTTTCTGCCAGCAGTCTGAGCCGAGGTGACACAGCTGGGTCCTGGCTCCTTGGCAGGTCCACAGCTGACCCCTGGGGTAGGGCAGCTGTCAGCAGGGCTTACAGAGTGGGAGGGTTTTGGTTGTTATGGACTTCTTCTTTGCAGCAGAAGAAAAGAGAAGCTGCAGATTGATGACTGTTTTATTGTACGTGCTGGAGCGAGACACCGGCAGCGCTGCCGCCAGACACCTCTAGCCTAAAAGGCAGTGTAGGAAAGATGTGAGCATCGGCTCCTCTTTAGAGCCAACTTTCTGAAACATTCCCATGTGAAAAATAGGTTGCCAGCTGTACCACCTGAATGGAAAATGGGTATCTCTGTGGCACTCGGAATCTGAGGGGCTGTGCAGCATGTAGCATTAGTTGCTTAATTAATGATAGTCATGGTCAGTGTCAAATATGTCTAAAACAACATTGTTCTTTTCCTCCTCCCTTGTCTCCCCCCACATTTTTGCCTCTTGGTTTTAATGACTTTTAAGACCACAAGAGCTTTCCTGCCAACCATGATGAACAACAACCACGGTCACATTGTCACAGTTGCTTCGGCAGCAGGTCATCTTGTGACTTCTTTCATGGTAGCTTATTGGTAAGTGATTTTAAAATCCTCTCAATTTTTTTTTTTTATTTTCTTGTTAATTGCGTCTTTAATTCGCCATCTGCAAGCACAGAGTGACCAAAATAATGATTCCACTGAATACAGTGTGTCCAAAGGACCATGCCGAGGTAGAAAAAAGCACAGCAGCCAGTACTTAAGGATGCCTGGAAGTTGCCATGGATTTGTTTCTTAGCTCTGACTAAATCAGGAGCAATGCTTGGATGAAGGAACGGCCACGTGAGACACATCAACTAATGCAAGCTTCTCCTTTTTTCTCTCCCTCACTGATCCAGACTTTTGCTTAGCAACCAAGGTATCCCCTTCCATTCTCCTCCTTAGAACGTAGCACTTCTGTGAGTTGTGGTCGTGTTGTCAAGTAAACTCCTCATGAGTAGCTTTTGGTCTTTCTACCATTGTGGTAGTGACTCGTGTATAGAAATACTTCTGCCATCGTGAGATAAAATTGCTTCTCTACTTGAAACACATCTAGAAAAGCACAGAAAAACTGTTGGATTGCACACTGTCATTCTGCATCCGATCTAGCGCTCTGTAACAGCAGCTCCAGGCAGAGCAGTCTTCCCTTGGGAACCCTTCTCAGAGTTGGCAAGGCCAGAACTTCCCAGCCCGGGATTTTACTGGGATTCCACCATCCCAATCAACAGCAGTCAATAAAGGGAATCCCTGGTTTTGCTTGCTTTGGAGTTGGTTTATACTCCTGGCCTGTTCCAGTTTCTGAAGCAATATGTTTCTCAAGTTTTCCATGGATACTTCTCCTCTATTTCAAAACTCATATGCAACTGTCACACAACCATCCTGTGTGGTATGAGAAAAAGTAGATTTTTTTTCCATTTCTACTCTGCCCATCCTTCTTCATTTTACAGACTGAAGCTGAATGCCTCCTAAGAGGAGGGAAAAATAGGAAGTCCATCGATTGATGCACAGGAGTTACCATTTCCTAAGAACTCCTGACATTCCTTTGTTCACCACTAAGGCAGCTTTTCCCGAATGACACCCGCTCTGCATCCCACACTTACTCCCCCAAGCAGCAATATCTCCTCCAGCACAGGGCACTCTGGCACGGGGGAAGTTAGAATTCTTCCCTGCCTTTTCTTCTCCGCTGGGTTACGGTTTTTTGCCTCCAAGTCAGTGCTGTGTGACTTTTGAGGCCATTTCCAGGTGCAGAAAGTTAAAAAGAGTATTTCTGCCTTCTCATTGGTGCTTTTTCCCCTCCTGCAGTTCAAGCAAGTTTGCTGCGGTTGGATTTCACAAGGCTCTGACAGAGGAGCTGTCTACCTTGGGAAAGGATGGGATAAAAACTACGTGTCTTTGTCCAGTTTTTATAAACACGGGGTTTGTCAAAAACCCCAGTACAAGGTAACTATGACAACTCTGCTTTCCTGTCCTTCCTTCTTTGCATCAAGGCACTACATATTAGCCCCAGCTTTAGGCCTTGTACTCCAAGGGACTATATGAAACCAGAAATAAATTGGTATACAGCTTGAGATAAAGAAAATCTGCATTGTCCTTTAACCCACGTGATGGTTGCATTTGACTTCCCTGAGTTTGTGCATATGCAAAACCCCCTACATCAGCTAGTACCACCCGTGTTTTACCGCCGTAGCTCTTACACATATGCTTTCCTGTGTAGGCTTGGAAAGATTTTGGAGATTGAAGAAGTTGTCGAGGCCCTGATGGAAGGAATACTGACCAACCAGAAAATGGTTTTTGTTCCGTCACATCTAAGCATTGCTCTACTTTCTGAATTGTAAGTATCAAAGGCAAATAAATGTAAGGGAGGAGGGAAAAACATATCAGTGCTAACTACCTGAGTATACAGCCCTCAAACTTGTAACTTCTGATTCAGGATTAAGTTTTATTTTATGAGGAGCTACATTTTGTACTCACAGTAGTAAAAGTTATAGTTTGGCAGCATAGAGGAACCCTGGAATGACAGCTGGACAGTAGAAATTAACATTCAACCCAGTTTCATTTATTTTGTATTATCTTCAGTACTTGACATCACTGTACTCAGTAATTTATCAGTCCAGATTTGAGATCAATATGCTTATAGTAACTAGATAATGTGTAACTATCTGCAGAAGAAAGTATAATTTTTTTAAACAACCGCCCAGCTGAAATATTTTAGTGTGAGAAGAAGACATAACAGAGTAATGAAATAGCAGTGGTTCTTTCTACTGACAACAGCCAGAGATCATACACAAAGATTTTTCTGAGCCCTCTCATAGATCCTTGTGATCCACTTCCTTCAGCTAACTGTTCTTAGTGGAGAACTTAACTGCTCTACAGGCTGGTAGGGATAGAGAGGGAGAACAAGAAAACACTTATTCTTCACAGATTGTCATTTCCCTTGGGCCTGTGAACAACAGTTTCTCTGAAACTGAACTCAGGTTCAGACAGAGCTGAGGACCTGCTGTTTATTAGTGTTTGTTTCTTCTTGTAAGCGCCAGAGGTTGAGGTCACAGAGGCTGGGAATGTTGCTTCAAAAGGGCTCTACTGCTTCTCTCTGCCACATAAGGCAAGATTTATCCTCTCACATATCTTTGATATGCACTGCAGCTGCTCTGCTGAGGCAGCGTTTTTACCAGAGCTCAGGTTCCAAATCTGGAATTTGCATCAGAACTAAGTTAACTTTTCAGCTAACTTTTACAGTATTTCATGAAACACTTAGTAACATCTGGTTTGCAAAACCTGACACTAGACAGTGGGGAAAAAGCTGTTAAGTCTTTTTGCATCTCAAAAAGCTGCGTACTGACAGTGCAAGTCTGCAGAAGCATAGACAAGTCAAACCTAAGGCTGTCAAAGCCCTTAGGATAACTTCGCTTTTTTGTTTAAATTTGGGGCAGGGAAAACAAAGAGACATGACTCATAAGAGAAGAAATCCTAGGAGAGGAAACCGCACCTGAGTTTTAACATCTTAACCTTCTGTAGGCCTGCTGCTTTTCAGAGCATAAAACACTCATAAAATACTCAGTATTGAACCTTCTTGGATCCTGCAGCAATATTGTAACCCAAATACTGCCCAGTACATACCTGTCCTGGAGTTGTCATAAAAGAAAATGGGTGGAATTGGGGTTAAAAGACAGAGGGCTATGTATTCTTTGGAAATAACACATGGTTTAAGCTTGGTCTCAGTCTGTGTGTGCATGCTTCCAGTCCAAGACCAGCTTCCTTCACCTGTGGTGCTACTTTTCGCCATAGTTGAAGTCACTTATCCTACGTTTCATTTCATTTTATTATCTCTTTCAGGTTGTTTCCAGAACGCACCCTGAATGTTCTGAAAAAGCTGACTGCTGCCAAGTTTGATGCAGTCATTGGGCAGAGAAGCACCCAGTGAAAAGCAAAAGATTACTCTCATTTCCCAGTGGCACAGGTGAAAACAGAACATGTGCTGAGCATAGTTGAGCTGGTTTGATCCAGAGCTGAACTGAGACACGTGCTCCCAGGCCACCATTGCCAAGCGCACCTAAGGGTTTCTCCCCCACCTGCAGCAGGGACACAGCTGTATAACAGGGAGTGTTAACAAAGCACAGCCACAGCTCTACAAGTCTGAAGGGCTTTGGCTGTCCATGGTGTCGCCTCCATCTCCTGGCGCTGAGGCAGACAGGAATTCCCACAAAGCCCGTTTTTGGACAGCACAGAGTGAGTGCAAAGGCATTGCCTGAGAATATGTTAATCTGGACTCGTCCCTGAGCAAAGGTGTCTTGCAAGAAGCAATTTATAGAGCAGGTGGGTGGCCTGTTTCACCTCAATTTATCTTTTCAAATTTAAAAAAAAGTGCTCTAATGAACACTCAGTTTTGTGTGCTTTCATAGTGAGTGCCTGAAATAATACAGCCTTGTTACATTGATTATCAAGTATGCATCAGCACCATAACACTCCTTATTGCAAATAAATACTTTTCTCTAACCCAAAGGTGTCTCTAACCATGAATGTGGTGTCCAGGCCCACGATGGCAGAGCAGGTGCTGCAACGGTGAAAGGGTCAGCCAGAATCTGCCAACCACCAGGCCAGGCTGCAGGGACGAGGCAAGTGCCCAGTCACACTGGGAACCCACATCAGGATCAGTGAGGTACAGGGCCAGCCGTGGCACACAACAGCACAGGCCATGCAAGGGCCAAGGCCAGGGCTCAATTGCAGGTGCCAGGCCAGGGAGCAGAGTGTGACGGGGGAAGGCTCCAGATGAGCCTTCCCAACGCTCCTCATCACAAGCTGGGGGCCTGCTCTGACGGGACCCACCTTGACCAGGAGGTTAAGCCCCCCAAAGGCCTTTGGCCTGTGGTACAAGAGAACAGCACCTGATGAAACACAGGTCAAAGACCTCTTCAGAGCACCAATGGTCGTTCCACCTGCTTGTGCAACTCCCACCTGTGCCAGGCACTTGCTGGCTTGCAGCCATCTGAGGGAGGTCTGAACACACTGCTGCCTTCAGCACGCCTGGAAACGGGTGGCTTCCAGTTGAATCCACCCCATTCACTTGAGCATTTCATGTTGTTCTGCAAAGTGAGGGTCTTCAGAAAAGGGAGAGCCCTCATCATCCAGCTCCTCCTGTTCTTAAGTGGCAACAGGTAGAAGTCTGTGCTGTCAACAGCACCAACGGTTGCTAAATGACACAAAAATGGTTGCCTTTTTGCTGAGGTAGCAATCGTGTAACAGGACATTCGTGGTGTGTCAAGGCACAAGTTCCCAGCTTGGGAACTTCTGCTTCATCGTGCAAGACTCCTGTAGCCAAGAAAGGAAAAGAAAGAAGGGGGTTCCAAATTGGGTCATTAAAACAAAAAAAAAAAAGTTAGAAGCTCAATAATTTAAATAGCTTAATAGATTTAATAATATTTCGGCATGGTTTCCATTTGAAACCAAAGTCAAATTGTGAGGGTTTTGCTGGCCCTGCTTTTTTTTTTTTTTTTTTAGTTCACCCAGCTTAGCCTCTTCTGGTACACACCTTTCACGTTTCTGATATTTCATGGCTTAGATCCCTGGTCCAAGGTACAGCACAGTCCAATGACTCCCGAGAAAAAGCTCAAAAAGACCCCCAAGACAACATCCTGAGGAGCAGGCCCTCTTCTCAGAGAGGGGAAGGACTGGCTCCAGTAGCACACATCAGACAAGTATTTGGCCTCTCCTGGCTCACTATCCCCACCAGCCCTGAGCATCATTCCGATTCTGATGGCAGCATTAAACTGGAAGACAAAGTCCCTCGAGGAATGACAGACAGCAGCCTTCTGCAGAGTCTGTTCCTTAGCACACTTACACCCAAGGAAAGGGAGGCTGTGGTGACTCCTGCTTTGCCAGATCCAGTCCAGTCTCTCAAAGCCCAGAGGTATTACCAGGCAACACAATTTGTACCCTACTCCCTACGTGGCTACACTTCCTCTCTGTGTCTCCTAGGGCTGCAAGTCTTCTGCTTGGCATAAAGAAACGGAAACCAAAGCAAGGATTTAAGACTCACCCCCTGAACACCAGTGGCAGAATTCAGCCATCAAGCCTTCGGGGCTCCTGGGTTCTCTTCCTGGCCACACCAACCAACAGAACCTCATCCCAAAGTGTGGTGAGTATGGCTGCCCAGCAGGAGCTCCTGTCAGCAAGCTTCATAGAGGCGTCTACAGCCAAGTCCCAAAACTGAAGAGGGGTACGTCACACCCCGGCTTCGGGCTCCTTCTGAGTCGGGTCGGTGACTCTGGCCTCGTGCTCTGCCTCCCTCCGAGGGGTCTCCTGGAGTCGGTGCTTCTCTGCCCTCCCTGCCTCCTCCGTCTCAGCCACAGCACTGACTGGAGCCCCGTGCCAGGGAAATGACAGCTCTGCAATTAGGGTCTGGCCCAAACCCCAATGTGTTAATTAGGAATGTAGGAAGTGCCTAGCTCTGAATCTCTCTGCTGGAGCTGACCCGGCCTCCCACAGACAAGAGGAGTAACAGTGCAGCCAAACCACTGGGACAATAAAAAATCGTTTTCAACAACTCTAATCTTAACTGGAGACCCATTTTGGTCAGAGGACGGATGTTCAGGTAATCTTCACTCCTCCCCATGCAGCTCAAAAATTCTGTAAGTAAAATTATGAACATCACCTTCATACATCTAGTTTTCTAACTGAAAAGCAAAATAGTAAGGTCAGCAAACCTTTTTCAAATTAGACCAAGCAGTTACACTATTAGAGTCAGATGGACTGGCTGAAACTAACTTTCTGCCTTTGCTATAAGCATTTCTATTGTGGTGAAGGTTCTGGATACTACTGTGCACACAAGAAAGTCCAAGTGTTAGTTGTGCAATTTAGACTCAGTTAGATATGGATGACCCCACTCATGCAGTCAATGCCATTTTCTAAAGGACTTGGGGAAACTAAGCAGCCATAAGATGGAAGGTCTGGGTAGAAAAACAGAGTAAGAGGGAAGAGCCAGCCAAAAGCACACCTGTGGAGTCCCACAAGTGGAGAGGACTTGTGCCATTCAGCTTTCGTTACATGGCCTGTAAGAGGAAGGTGAGTGACACAGTCTGCTGACAAAGCACGGGCATGCAAAGGAAGGACGGATGGACTTGGACTCACCATGAAAAGAACTGCTCAAGAACCTCATGAGACTGAGCGACTGCAGAGTCAGAGCAGGATTTGGGACAGAATTACAATGTGGAGTTGACGTGACTTTTAAGATGTCTTTGCTAGTAACTGGATGAGCAATGTCATTGCCACTTCCATCCCTCTTGCAGCAAATGACAAACAGGGACATGCTTTGCTGCTCCTGAGATGAGGGCCTGAGAGAGAAACAGCAAGGTTCCCTGCTCTCACCAGTGCTGGGGCAAGTGAAGAAACGACAGTCGCAGTCGGGGGGACACCAACAGCAGGATCGCAACCAAGGGCAAAACTCCGAGTTCTCTGCACGGCTCCACCAGCCACACTTTCCCCACAGGGACAGAGACCACCCGGGAGCCACGCTGGCCGCGGGAGCTCCTAGGACAGCTGCGTGCAGCACATCCCACCAGCGGTAACACGCACCGAGTGGCGGCCGTTCCTCTCCACGGCGAGAGGACCAGAACGCCTCCTGTTAGAACGCAAGCATCCGCGGGTGGGGCCGCCCCGCCGCCGAACCGCGACCACCGCGCCAAGGCACCGGACGGGACCGCCGGGCCGGGCAGGGCAGGGCAGGGCAGGGCAGGGCAGGGCAGGGCGCGC